TTTTTCCGGAAATTTTTGAAAATTTTTTTATGGGTGGAGATCTCCGGAGATCTCCACCAAAAAATTTCCTGATGTATACTGACAATGTTTGCCAGTAGGCTCTTTGGACCCGCCAACACTCACCTCTTCTTCTCCAGGTTATCTCCACGAATGCACTCAAGTCTTATCACAGCGAGCTGAAAAGAACATCATCCCGTACACATGGATTAATTGGTAAGCGAGTTTTTTTTTATCTTTTTCTTGCATTTTTTTTTCTTAATTTTTTTTGCATTATTTTTTCTTAATTTTTTTCGCGTTATTTTTTCTCTTGGTCTTTGTTTTTCTTTACATCTTTGTTCATTAATTTTTATTCTTACATTACTTTGCCCTTGACATCAAGAAACGATCTGATTCTGAAAGGGTTGCTTTCAATTTTTGTACGAAAAAAATATCTGCTTACAGCCTGGAGAATGAAATCCTGGAAAAAATTCACAAGTTCCCCTTTCCCTTGCAACAAATGCTCATCAAAGAGGCTGATGCTGTTATGGATAGGTTGACAAAAGGTAAGGGCGCACCAGGACTAACTTCTCTTGACTGTTACTGTTTGTTTCGAAGTCGGTATCTGTTACCATGCAAGCACATCTTCCACGAACACATATATGGCGGCACAAAGCTACTAACGGCAAGTGCTTAGAAAGCATTTCAAGAATTATTTGAAGAAAGTGAATTTGAGGTGTATGAAAATCATGAATTGGTGATAATAGATGCACCCGAACAAATGGAAAAGAAAAAAAAACAGAAAATTGGTGGCTTTATATAAACGAATTGTCAGAAAGATTACGTGATAGATATTATAGAACCAAAGAGAAGAGCAGTGCAGACACTTTTATTAAGAAGCTAGAGGCTTCTTTGAATCCACTTATTAATGATTTTTAATAAAATTTTTTGATCAAATTTTTAATGACTTCGATACAATTTAAAGATTTTCTTGAAAAAACTTCTTTCATGTACTTGATTAATATTAAGAGAACTAGTAACTCTCGGCTTGCTAAAATAAAATCATTATTAAAAGATCTTTTTTGATCAAATTTTTAATGACTTTGATACAATTTAAAAATTTCTTGGAAAAACTTCTTTTCATGTACATGATTAATATTAAGAGAACTAGTAACTATCAGCTTGCTAAAATAAAATCATTATTAAAAGATCTTTTTGAATCAAATTTTTAAGTTTCGTTCACTCTATTAAAAATTTCAGCTTAAAATTACACATAATTTTGACCAATAATAAAGCTTTATAACACGTGATAAAATACTATTACATAATTAAATCACATGCAATCGACTCCGCTTTAGCCCACCCCCATATATAGCATCAACTGCTACTGCACACTTAAAAAGCTTTTCTCCTTCACATCGATCTTTGTATTCATTATGAGTAAGGACCTGTATAAACTTTACAACAACTAGATTTCACTCAGAAAGCCATTTTGAAAGAGAATACTCCAAAAGATTATTTAAATTAAATCAATCTTGATTTTTTATTAAACTTGTTATATCATTATATACATTATGTCGTTCCATTTTAGCAATCTCCATTACCAACTTTAAATGATCTTGTTTGTCAGTAAGCTTTTCATTTAACAATCTTTTTAGTGTTTTTTTTTCTGATAATAGTTGTTGATTAAGACTTTCCAACTTTTCAATTCTTTTAAAAAGTATTTCATACTCAGGATCTGGTAAAGATACTTGGACTCCAAAATTGAAAAACCCACAATCATCGTTAACATCAGTAAGCTTTCTATTTTTTCTCTCCTCTTCTTCCAAATCTGAAAAACTTAAATTATCCACTTTACTTTTCATTTTAACAAAAGAACTTCTAACAATCTGGTTATAATGTTTTTCACATAAAGAGTAGTTTTCTAAAGAATTAATCAATAAAGATAGTTCAGGAAAATACTCAACCATGTCCGTTAATCACTTCACTGATGCATCAGCTGATACATGTCGCCACCTTTAATTCTCTTTAACTTCACATTGTAATAATAATAACTGACTATCCTTCGAAAGATAACTGCATATACAAGGTAGATCTTTAGCTTTAAGTTTTGAGCTCATTCTAAATGTGTGTAATCAAAGCATACAGTACTAGTAAAATTAAATGTGATATTGAGGAGAAACGGCTTTGCAAAGTTGTGTGGATTACCATGAATCCTGAAAGTATATACTGTGATAAAATGGATAACTTAGTTTTATTTTTACTTATTTTTATTGAATTACTATTAGTTTATTTTTAGCAGT